ATGATGAAAGAGAAAAATCTGGGGGTTTGTGGCTTACAGAAAAAAAGAGGCCATACTCTCTATTTCCTTCCTTTGCCATCTGGAAACACAACTAAACTTTCTCAGAAAGAGGACTGAGTTATATTCAGTGAGTAAGTTATATTCACTGAGTCAACAAAACACGCTGGACTGCCAAAGCAGTAGTTTTTGAGGATCAGAAAACAAGCCCTGAACATGAAAGAGCAAACCTTCATTCATGAAAAATAAATCGCAGAAGCAAACAATTTTAACACTAATTATGCAAACACTTCCGCTCAGCTCTTAATGACACTAGGTCTTAAAAAACACTGGGCTCAGGGTTAAGCCCATAATTGACTAAAGACATAAGATATCACTAACAACTGTGTTTATTTCTTTAGATTACTAAAATTGGCAACTATCGGAAAACAAGAGCTATGTATGAAGAACTACACGTGCTGTTTTATACATACCACCTCCAATTCTCACAAAAGCACTGCAAAGTGAAGAAAACAAGGATCAGATAATTTAGGTAATTTGGGCAGTGACTGACTGAAATTAGGTTTGTCTGACCCCAGTATCGTCACATCTAGCCCCCTGATCACAAACCAGTTCAGGCTGACTCCCTAAAGGGGGCCTGTATCTAAGCATTTCACCCAAAAGATTTATACTACATGGAGCTAAAAACATCAATGTAAAATGCAATAATCAGGAAGAACTGCAAGATGAATCTGTAAAGTTCCAATTAGATTATGGTATTTGTTTGGAGTTTCACTGTCTAATAAAAGTATGAAAAGAATTAAAAGATACATAAAGGAAAAAGAAAAAAATGAGAGGTTTAAAACAAATAGCTACAGAGAAATGTTTTGGGTTTTTTTGAGGTTCTGCTTTTGTCTTTAACCAATAAAACATTCTAAACCTTCTATGTAAGTTTCTTGAGGGTCTAAGTTCAATTCTTGATCTAAGTCTGCCTATTCAGGTTAAATCTGACATGGTGCTTAATATTATTTTTAAAAGTTTCTTCCCTTCTGGCTGACCAAAAAGCTCTATTGGCCTTCAGACAGATAAGGGGCAAAAAACTTTTTTCCACTTTCTGGATTTCAAAATCAGGTATGTAAAGAAATACAGCAACGAACAGCTCCAACAAAAAGTCTAGTTCTTAAACTTTTAAAGTAGATTTTAAAAACCTGACCATTTCTCATTTATTTTCCCACCCGGAGAAACACTTAATACATTTTTGTTAGGCATTTTTGAGGCAAAAGTTAACTGACACAGGTAATTGAGAGATCATTGCTGAAAAGGAGAAAAATGATCTGTCCTACTCTTGAATGATTATGTAATTGAAACCATTTCTCCAGGGGATTAAAAAAAACAAGGATGACACACCGTGCATGAGGTGCCTCCGTAATAAAATGTATTCAAATACATCCCTCACCACATAAAAGACAAAACGCAGGCACTTCAACTACATTTCAGTTTTTGGAATGCCATGCTCAGATCCTGCTGAAAAACTTAAAAAGAATTTTGACAAACCAGAGGGTGTTTCAAAGAAAACAGTCAGGATGGTGAGAAATTCAAAAACCTGTCATATCAAAAATAGTTGAAAGAAATAGGCATGCTTATAATCCTTAGAAAAACCAGTTGGGGAAGAGAGAAGACACAGGACATAAACAGCTGTCAAAGTATTTGAAGATTACTAGGACGAGACATTAGGTTTATCCTGCATGTCCCCAAATAGGAAAACAAGGCCAGTGAATACCATGTACAGCGAGACAGATTTCTAGCAAATAGAACTGCAAATGACATGATCTGTCCCTCAAGGCAGATTGTTGAAATGGGGACTCAAAGAGAGACTAGGTGAACACCTATTAGAAAAGCATAAAGTGGGGTGGGGGGGTATAGCTCAAGTGGTAGAGCACATAGAACCCATTTCCTGGGTTCAATCCCCAGCACCTCCTCCAAATATAAATAAATAAATAAATAAATAAATAAATAAATAAATAAATAAATAAAGTGAAAGAAAGCATATGGGTAAAGATTGGTCCGGATTAGCAGGGCTAAAACATTTTTCAATGTTTTGGAATCTTTTTGAAATGCTCCTCAATATATGTGTATTTATAAATTAAATGTGAATTGTTAACCTGTATATCAAATATCAGCAAAGTTAATTTCCCCCCCCCAAAAAAGAATATAAAAGGGTTCTAAATTTTTTCCTATATTCCAACAGATCACCTTATGCATCCCAGGGCAGTGCATACTCTATTTTCAAGACCAATGGTCTGTATAAACTGTAAGATCTATGATTCAATTTATAGACATGCATTTTTAGAGTTCCTCGAACAGGTAAAAAACTGATCTAAAATAATCATTACAATTAAGATTTATTAAGAACTTACTATTTACAAGTCACTGTGCTAGAAGCTTTGTTATTTAAATAAAACTAAAGCTCAGTGAGACTTGAGGGCACTGCTCTGTGACAGGGAGAGCGGGAGAGTGAACTCAGGGTGACATACTCTCTCCAAAGCCTATTACTTTTGAGCAAAGAGCATTAGGCTCCACATAGAAACGACTACATGAAACAATGATAAATTCTAATTTACTAACTCCATTCACTTATACCTATTACTACCACCCAAATTTACCGGCATTCTGATATTTCAGTCCTAAATTGTGTCACGGGCAAAATGAAAAAGCCATATGGACAGAGAAACTGAGGAACAAAATGTCACTTATATGATGTTACCTGGCAGAACCGAGAAAATTTCACACAAAATTCCCAATTAACTTTTTTTTTCCTGCTTTAACTGTGAATACAAGGTCATCCTCCCTCCTTTACAAGGGCAATGTGAGTAAAAGTTTGTTTCTTTGTGCCCTCAGACACTTGGATTCTGTATTATTTTGCCAAATCAAAATTTTGCAATACAAAGTAGCTTTCAGTTTTACCTGTGACTTGGCAACATTTTTAAACAGTAGGTAAAGAAAAATTGAAGGGCAAATCCATACAAAAGGAACCAAGCCAGGGACTATGCATTTAGGGATTCAAATAATTTGGGAGTTAAATAAATGGTTGTACTCTTTACAATAAAAATGAAGAATGAATCAGGAGCCATCCAGAGCCCAGCATGTGGTAGGTCACAAAAACCTGACTGGTCTAGGGTGTCCAGCCTCTGGCAGGCAGCTGTATCATCACACATAAGTATTCAGTATGGTGACGCTGTAATCGGTAACAACAGAAAAAGTACCAATAGGGAGGATCTGACTCCCATCTCACCTTACTAATTCCTTGTGCGGCAAGTCATTAACTTGAGATCACAAACAGTAGGTTCAGAAACAGAAAATCCCAGCCGAATGGAGATAGAGGTCCGATGAACAAACGTCTTATTAATTTACCAGGAGACTCTATTCCAGGGAAGCTTTAACTGTCTATTAAAACGAGTTCTCCAGGAAGATGAGGAGTAAGCGACTCGCACAGTATTTCCCAATTTTCCCGCATTTTCGCTCCTCTACTTAACTTGGACTGCAACAACATGACACCAGAATCTCCAGATGCTTATACGAGCGCGGTGTACTGTCTCTAATCAAAAACCAGTTTCAACAACAAAGAATTATAAATCCTCAGGCTGAGCTGGATGTTTTAGTTTAACCAGGAAACAGATGGAGGGGGGAAATTGCACTAAGAATTAAAAGATTTAGAATGTTTCCACTCTGACCTAAGACTCTTCGTTTTGTTTCAGAGAGAGCTGGCAAGGGTTATTCTGAAGGGGAAAGCCGGCCTCATCCTGCATACCCTGCCTCAGTGGGCTGGTGGATGGGTCCCCTGGTTCCAGCACATCCATAATTTATTATCAAATGCCCGAGCCAACACATTAAAGCACAATGATTTCATACTCCTCCCCTGCTCCTCCACAAGGAGGCAACCTTTATATCAGAACAATGTGCCCAGGAGAAGACTCTAAAGACACAAGGCATATCCAAAGCAAAGGATATTCAAATACTCAGGGCAGACAATCTATTTTCTCCACACCTTTACCTCTCCCCCCAGCCCCCTCATTTAAAGCCGTACAAAATGAGGCCCTAGGGTGGGTCCAGGCGGTCTTCCCTTTCTCCGCGGGTAAGCTTTAAAAAGAGACCAAAGCTTCATGTGTTTGGTTTTCGTAAGATCTGTGTAGAAATCACAAACAGCAACGCTGGCCTGGGAGCTATGGAAAGCAGAATGGTGAGTCGCCGTGCAACGGGTACATCACAAACCTGCAGGCCAGAAGGTCCTGATCCGCTAAATGGACATGAACCGGGTAAAAAGCACCTAAAAAAACCTGTTCACTGGCGAGTTTAACTAGCTGGTTGACCTTGGGCCAACCACCAGCCTCGCTGGGCCTCATCTCTAAAATAAGGTGCTGGACAGGACAGCCCTCTCAGAAATAACCCCTTCTGAGTCGTGACGGCCTATGGCTTTCTGAATATACTAAAGGAGGCAACGGAGAAGTTTCTGAAGAGTTGAAATTTTTCAACAAAAGGGGTAGGAAAAAGTGCTCAGTCGAGAAACAACAGAGTAACTGGTCTGGGCCCGCGTTAACGGCCTCTCAGACAGAGAAAAGGGGAGGGAAAGGTCAGAGGTTCAACCTCGGGGATGGAGGACAAGGCAGCAGCTGAGATCCGAGTAAGAAGCGTGGCTGGAAATGGGGCTCGCAGTGGCGAGCATGGGGCCGGGGGAGCCGGGGATGCAGGGCGGCCTACTCCGGGGGAGTGGGCAGGGCAGGGCCGGGTCGGGCGGCGGTCCCCACGGC